AAATGTAAAGGTATGGCTTAATATTAAACAATGATATATAAGTATATTTTAATGATAGGTATATTTTAATTTCAAAGTATTTGATGTAATACAAAAATACTCGTTTGTGACGAACGCAATGTAAACACCAGATGAAGCTTTTGTCTCGACTGTCTGCAAAAACTCGTGTTAATTAAATTATACCTTCAAACTTAGTCTAAGAGTGCTACCTAATTTTGAATAATTTCTTAATGTGTGTGGCAAAATATATAATTCAGATTATCCCAATTTTAACCCCACCTCAACGTCTTACGTCAATATTTTCAGGAAAAAAAATGTTATTACGTTGATCATCAATGACTATATCATCACATAAAAATGCTATGTGATCAGCGTGAAGACCAATAATATAATAAATAATATAAATATAATAATAATAATATATATAAATATATATATGTAACGTGTCTTCTTCCATCTTTTCTATTAATATATTGAAAATAAACAGTATTTAAATAATTTAAGACCTAAATAAAGATTCTAAGGAAAGTAGTCACAAACTATGCAAATTCGGTTAAGGTCAAAGGTCAATTTCAAAATTCGTATAATATACTGTATGTTGTGTGTACAATACACTACATTGCAAAATGGTAAAATAACTAATTGCTTTAAATAATTAATAATTAATTGTTTTAAATACTTAATTGTTCCAAGTCTTATTGTTTTAATAGAAAAACCTCTGATATTAAATATTTGTTGCCTAGCCTGAGATATCATTTGACCGTGAATAATGTTTGTAAGACCCATCCCGATATAACATCGATGCACTCTAAAGTAGATTTTTTCAAGAAATGGCTTGGGATGCCCAGACCGGGCACAATCGAATTTATGTATATGCCGCCTGGTCTAACAATGATATCCATTGAAACACACATGCTTGGGAGTTCCTGGTCCATGGAAGTTTTCACCAGTTGTTATCGTTAGAAGAAAAATAAATAATTAAGAGTTTTATTTATAATTTGCTAAGGGTGGTCATGAAATTGTTATCCAATTCGGTGTGTGACACATTTAATAACAGGGTTAATTTAGATGGGCTGAGATGGGGAAAAACATGTTGGAAATCTGTGGCGCATGTTTTAACAGAGAGTCGCTTTTTCATATCCTTAATAAGTGCTCTCGTTCTGTAGGCCAAGGACTCCTCACCTATAAGCATAACAACGTCGTAATTTATTTAAATCGCATTTTAAATGATTGCTTTAAATCCACTCATTCCCCTCGTTGCATCTTGTGTGACCTCGTAGACAGCGCCTCTTCTAATATTCATTCACTCACAATTCCTATTGGATGTGTCGCAACTAATCTAATTATAGATATTGTCTCTTCTGGCCTAATCTTAAAAAAAAGCATGTCGTTCATGAACAAACCATCCTATTGGAAACCAAAATTACCACTGCACATTTTAAGGAAGTTTAGTAAATATTTACCTCTGGTTTCCGATCTTAGAGACGTTGGCCATGAGGTCAACATAATCCTTATTGAAATCAGCGCACGTGGGTTCATCTCATTTGATAACAGCTGTAGGTCTACAAAAGTCACTGTAAACATTGACTTTAATAATCATATAATATTGTGTTGATTTTTCTTAGAATCGATATTCAACAATAATTATATGGATATGCCGATATGGAACTGAAAATTTCCATAATTCTAAGCTAATAACTATCATGTTAAAAGTTTTATAATTTATTTTTTTTACTACATGGAAAGTAAATCTCAAATTGTTGATATAATTTTTTTTTTTTAATTTAACAATATTGCTTTATAAAAATGTGCGGTTTTTTTTTTTTTTTTTTTTTAAATAAAGTGAACCACATGGCTTTTGCATTGCTCATTCAATTTGTAATAAACTCTAAAATATCGAGTGTGATGACATTTTTTTTTTTGCAATTGAAAATGTTGCCAAATGTTCTAAACAAGACATTGGATAATTAAAGTAAAACGCACCTGATTGATCATTAAGTATTAAAAATAGTAGACCTATTGTTAATTTTTGAAACATCTCAATATTAGTCCTTGGTGTTAGCTCACACATTGGAAACATTGTATTTAACCAAACTTTGTATGATGTTGATTGAATTTTTTAAAACCAATATACATGTTAATCTAAGCCTGAACCAACTGATTTTAAATTAATTTCAATTTTTCAATTAATTGTCATTACCGCATGTTATTATTCGTTGTTTTTTGTATTATTTTGTTCTCCACGATACTGAAACCAAACAGATGTTTAATTGAAAATATAATTCGTTGATGAAGCAGCCATATTCTGTTTTAATTTATTTGTTAAGAATTGGTAAATTTATTTTATAATACATTTTGAAACATCTCAATAATTTAGTCGTTGGTGTTAGGTCACACATTAGGCCCTATATTGTTTAAATTTTTACATGGCAACTTAATAATATATATATAAATGCTTGCGGTACACTAAGTACATAGTTCTGAAAACAAATGTTAATGTTGGTTGAGATATTTTCAGCCAGCAACAAAAAGTCATTTTTATATATCTACGTATTTACGTAATGTACCGCATAATATGTTGAAGTCAAGCAGATGTTTAATTGAGAATATGATTCGTTGATGTGAAGCAGCAGCTATATTCTGTTTTAATTTAATTTGTTCACAATCTCTTTATTTATTATAACATTACCACGACTACATTATTGCTTAGCTCAGCATGTTTGGTTTGTGCGTGGTATTTTATTCGTTCAATGGTGGTAATAGAAATTACTGTGTATTTGTTAAAAAGTGCGTATTGCAGCATTCTCTATGTGTTTGTAAAGTCCTAGAAGCAGAAAAGTGATAACCAAAATAAAAGTGTCTGAGATCTCGTTTAGGATGACGTTCGTCTAATAGAGAAACAGTATAGCATATTATTCTATGTTAAATGTCATAGTGGATACATCCGAGCATCCGTGTGATGCATTAATTTGCTTTTGATATTTTAAACGAATTCCATAGGAAGAGACAATCAGAACCAATTCTGGGTTTTGTGGGTAAGGGGGAGGGAGTGGGTGGTTGTCTGCTTAACGTCATGTTCCCGAATTCCAACCCTGGTTGTTTTTGCATTGTACGCTTAGCCTAGGTGATATAAATTCTAACATTATTAACATTACTATACAATGTTATTTTTAAGCAATACAATTCAATGGTATGAGAAGCCCACATATGGGCCTCGATCGGTGGGGGACAGGGGGACACGTCCCCCACTTTCAAAGTAGGGGCTCTTCAATATTATCGATATTATCTAATATTTCAAAAGAAATTACTGTATCTTATTATATTTATAAGTCTGTATCGAGCGAGAACAACCGCAATGTTCTAAAGTCTATAAAAAATATAAAAATATTTATTATACTTTTTTATATAAAACTATAAGCAAATGTTGACCAGTTAGAGGCCAGAAAACTCGCTGCAGCAAATCTTTAATCGAAATGCCATTAAAGAACCAAATACTCTCTTCGTATATATGAGAAAACACGCTATCTGGTTACGATTTGCTGTAATATATAATATGAGGTAGGCGGGGCACAGAACAAACTTTCCAATAAACAAAACTAGTAAACCATCATGTAGGAATTTGCTCAGTGAAGTGTGATATGTGTAGTGTCATGCTACTAATACTGTATATAAATTCACACTCTCCATCCCTGCAGACACAGGAGCCCGATACTGTGATATCAACTTATACCGGATAGGATTCGAGTAATAAGAATTTGAAATGATGCGTTTTGATGCATGTTTTGTAGCATTATGCTGTGTTGTTAGTATTTGCAGCAGTCAGCAATTATGCTGTATTAATGATGACATATTCACTATTACTGGCGGTATGTATTATCATTGCTATAGTGTATTAATATAGACCTAAATTAATTGAGCTGTTAGCTCGTAGCTAGTTAGATAAAAGAAAGTGATTATACTCCTTCATGAAAGCCTAACAGCTATATTATAAACTTTGTTCGCAAGCGTCTAAAATTTCCTCCCATCAAACGTAGGGCTGGTGTTAAGATAAGTCAGGTGCCTTCTACTGTAATCTGTAACTGTTTTGTAACCCCTCTCAGGTCAGATTTAGAGAGGAAAACGGCCCCACTATTTCTGCTTCTAAAATATCTTTAGCAAAATATAAAAAAAATATGTCGTTTATTTAAATTAATTTTGGCACACAACACATGTACCAAGGGTTGATAATGGCGAATACATTATTGTCCTACTTGTAGGTGAAAATCTCTTAAACTATATAAACATGGGCCTAGACAAACGTTCTGGAGTTGTTTTGGTCCTGAGAAGAAATCCTGCTACACTGAGAAGAATTGAACCTGGAACCCTCTGATATGAAGGCAGCGTTTCAATTTTATCACAGCATAAACTAGACACGATTTCTATATGCATGTATTAAGCATTCCAAAGTTTGGAATATTTGGAGAAACTAGTGTTTAACTGGTTGTTAAAATCCGGAATCAGCTCCATTGTCCGGTCTAAGTATAAAAGTGATTCTGTTCTTTCATATATTTCTAACTGTCGTAGTACTGGTATTCAAGACGCGCCGCGCGCCGTGTCCTAAATGTCTGATTGGTTTCGGCAAACCAGTTTTCGAAAACTAGTTTTCATCCCAAAAGTTCTAGTTCGTCCACAATGTACTTAATACATTGTATTATTATAAAGATTCACTGAATGTTACTCTGTTACTACGGTAAGCCGCACCAATTTAGTAAATATGGATGTACACTGTTAGGATTAGTATTAGAATTGTGGTTAAAATTATTTAATGTGGGTTACTGTTCAATATTCTAACTTAAGTCGTCACTGAGGTGTCACTACTTACCCCCCCTCCCCTTCACCCATGCCAGATCCACTAAATGCAATAGGCCTCATATTTTAGAGCTACTAGTAACTGCTTGTATTATATTTTGGTTTTAACATATTTAGCACAAAAATAACAATCGTTCGCTCTTCTGTGTCAGAATTTGTTACTGGTTGGTATGCGGGCATGTACAATCTAACAATCGAGAACCGTCTGTCCAAGAGGGTATTTGACTATACACAATCTCGTTTTTACTTCAACGACACAATTTTTGGAATAAACCAAACAGTTTTGATTGAAGATTTCAACCAGGTTGGTAGACTTCGATACTAATATTAAATTAAGTAGAGTCTATATTTAAATAAAATTAAATTCTAAAAAAAAAAAGAAACGCAAAAGAAACTGAAGTAAAAATAGTATCTATATTTAAAGAAATAAGTAGTATCCATATATACAAGTAGTATCTATGTTTAAAAAAATCAATTAAATGCCAAAAAAGGGGGAAAAAAACAAAACAAAACGCATAAGCATTAAAATTGAACTTGTTTTTAGAACATGTATAAAGTATTTAAAACTGGTATCTGCAAAGAAGGGCGATTTATAAATGACCTGATTGGACTGAATTGGATTAGATACTATGTAACTTAATGTCATGTTCAGTATTCACACTATTTTGAAAACTAGATATTTAAAAATTAATATCATATTTAATACATTTCTGTCTCTTATACACATCTATACTTGCAAATATAAAAACACTATACGTAAAATATACAAAATATGTATGAAGAGCCGATTCCCATGTATGCGGCGGTCCGCTGACCATGGTCCCCTTACCATTAGTGGGCTCGTGGTCCCTCCTATAGGGTCTCACTCCAGTACCCCGAGGAAAAAGAGCTTTGTTGATACATAACAGCATATTGTGTCTCTGACATGGACTGTAGGAAATATATCATATATTCAGTGACGGATTAAAAAGTGAGTGCCATTTCCGGCACTCTTAAATGTGCTATAATTATATATTTTCTTACCTCATCCTCAACCACCGTAAGGTGGAGGATAGACCCCTCTCTAATTCAAATTTCTAGATCTGCCATTCATATTATATAATTTTCGTCGTTCAAACACAATGGCAAAAAATAATTTAAACTCCCCCCAATCCCCTCCGATTAACGACCGATAATAAAAAAAATCCGTGTGTCTCAGAAAGCCACAGGGTTCCCCACCGTTAAGTCACTGACTAGTACCTATTAATTATGAGGGGTAGCGCAAGGATTTTCCGACAGGAGTCAAATGTCTCCACAAAGAGCAACGTGCGCATGGTCGGACGGCGCGTACAATCTTTAAAACCTATAAGTTATAGGTGTATCTGATTGGTTGTAAAAATAGATTTATTAATTTCGGAAGAAATGAGTTCTTAAATAGTGTCTCGAATACGTATCATTTAGTGACAGATTCAAGGGCGGCATAGCTAATCCGCCATTCCTATTTTTATTTTTTTTCATCAAATAGAAAATATAGAAAGAAAATTATTAATTATAAGTTTATAAGTTAATTAATACGGCTGAGAGAGGAATTTACTGCCATCTAGAAGTGAGAAAATCCAAAATTTCTCGCCTCAACCCCAACCATTATGACACTCTGGTGGTAGTACAGAATCTCAATCTGTAAAATTCCCCCCGGGCCCTTTTTATTTCAAATTCCTGGATCCGCCAATGATATCATATAATTCATTCCACCGTTAAAAAACTTAGAATACAGTGACAAACATAAAAAATAAGCATATCTAAAATCTCACGATGGATTGGCGACCGAAACCTCAAAATGGCCCGGGTCTCTCAGAAAGCCACAGGGCCCTTGCCTCCAGCGTCATTGAGAACAGTGTCACTGTGACGTTAGAAGCACGTTAACAATAACAATTCAAAACGCTTATTCAACTATATTACTAATACAACACAGGTTTAATTTTTGCTCCTATTAGAAATATGCGGTGCATAATGCTGACTTTATTTTGTAGAATTTAACATGGACTATTGATCCTGTTGCACAAACGTGTCAGAGAACATATTTGCCATGGGGAAAGAAACAACCGACGAGGTGTATTCCAGGTAAGGTGTAGTAACATCGATCACTATCAACGCAATTTCGCTTGCGCATTTCCAAACAAAGTGATTAGAAGATGTAATATACACTAATTAAAACAAAAAATCTAAAAAAAACCAAAAAAAAAAACCACATAAATAAATATTATAAATAGAAACCAAATAGGCCTATTTCTGGTCCCTCTACTGTGATCTGGCATTGGATAGACTTACGTTATGTATAAAGTAAATTAAGTTTTTAATTGCTCAGAATAAGCTCAAACTTATTAATAACAAAACAAATTCATTGCATGTGCTTTTAAGAGGCACTTAAAGTTTGATCACATCAAACAGGCTTCTCTGTCACTTGAAGAACTTAAAATTTTACCCACTAAATTGGTCCGAAATCTTGGTGTCGCATTCCATATCGCGTTGTCATTGTCCAATTAAGTTCAGTCTCTCTGTAAATCGACCAAATACCATATTATTCGTAACTTATGGAGGACTCGCAAATTTATCGACTATGACACTTGTCATGCTGCCGTTCGTGCACTTGTTTGATCAAGAATTGTACTCTTAATTTGACTGCAACAGATTCTCTAAAATTACAGAATTTGCAGAATTCTGCTGCACGTCTAATTTTATATATCTGTGACTTTTTACTTGTACGTAAAAAGCAAATTCGTACCAGATTGGCTTTGAACATTAATTTTCATCAACCTAATTTAACAAGCGTATTGGTAACAAATATTTTCTGTTTGAAGTGCCATTCATCTGGAATAACCTTTAAATGACTGTGGCTGTCTTTAGGTCCAACTTACAGGCTCACCTCTTTATTTAATTATCTTCATTTTTATTTTTATTTCATTAATTGTTGCATTATTTATTTATGATTCTAAACATTACCACTGTTTCTTTTGATTTGTTTACTTGGTTTGTGCTTGGGTTATAGGCAATGATCATTCCTGCCTGTAGGGTTGTGAGGTGCCGAAGTATGTGGGGTGCATCGCTTGGTATCTGCAAAGAAGGGCGATTTATAAATGACCTGATTGGACTGAATTGGATTAGATACTATGTAACTTAATGTCATGTTCAGTATTCACACTATTTTGAAAACTAGATATTTAAAAATTAATATCATATTTAATACATTTAAACAAATTTAAGAATGGATTCTATTTTCTTTTACGATCATATTATTAGGAGAGAAAGATGGTTATCACATTATTAAATTATAGGCCCGAAATATATTTCTATTACTAATCAGTTAGAATGTTTATATATTTTAATAGGTAATGCACAATATCGCGACCAAATCAATAATCCCGGCGATGTGCTAGTTAGTAGGTGGCGTTTTGACCGGCAGACTTCAACGTTAAATGGAACGGTGTCACGTGGATATACCATTAACGAGTGTCTACCAACTAGAGGAGCATTTGTTGGCACAGAAGACATTGACGGAGCCCCCGGTAAGCCTGTTTCCATATTGTAGCATAATTTTTCTAACTAGTAATCGAACCGGGCACCTTTCCTGATTGCGCCGGGGACAGCTACGCAATGTGTAATAATTTTAAAGAAATCAATTTAAGCGAAAATATAACGATTTTATGAAAACTAGGCTGCAAATAATACTATTTAGAATGACATATACTGTAAGTTGTGAGTGCCTCCTTTATTTACATTTTGAATTTCAATTAATGCCTTTATTAAGTTGATTTTAGATTATAATAAACAGTAGTTTCTTTTTTGTAGTTCTGTTTACAATGAATTCTCCCACCCACCCCAAGAAACAGTTAATGTGTTTAACAATGTTTAAAGACAATTATTCAAAATGCATTTTCACAACATGCAACTGGATGTTATACTACTGGATTCAGTATCTGTCTCTTATACACATCTAGATGTGTATAAGAGACAGTAACATGTGTGTATGTATGTATTATTGTTACCATTGAACACTCTACTACATTTTTTTGGTTCGTTCCATTATTCCTTATCACACTAGAGAACGATAACGTTTGCTTATAATTATGATCACTAACAATTTCGATTACACCGTTACTTGCAGTTGAAACATTGTCTCTTGAAAATTTTAACAACTTCGAGGTGTTAACTGATGTTTCCACTTACTTTAATCTGCCTTCTTACTGTTAAAATCAGCATTGCATTCGGTAAGCAAATTTATTCGGATCATCGAAATGATACTGTCAATAAACTATTATGTAATGTATTTCGTTTTTATTTATTTATTTTATTTTTGTTTTATAGCCGATAGAGTGGAAGGCGACTAAAGCTGTAAAATGGAGAGGCTTATAAAACCACAGAAGAAAAAATGATGAGACAAATTGTCAACCTTAAGACAGTCTAAACTAGTTATTTAAGTTACTTATCTGCCTTACTTATTTTGAATTTTCAAATTGACTTTAATTAGCGAGGACAACGATCAACAAAAATATTCTACAATATTATCTTTTTTTGCACGTTGCACTGTAGTCTGCATTTTGGAAATGATAAAAAATTCAATAACATGCATACTTTTTACCAAAATATGTTATTTAAAATTATCAAGCTTTCATTTGAAATTAGAATTAAATAGAAATTTAGTCATAATCAGTGGTGGTGTAAGGAAAACTCGTCACATTATTGGGAAGTAAAACATATACGGTAATAGTAAAATTTGAAGTAAGGTTCCGAAGAAAAATGTGTGATATGTTGTAGAACTGATTTTTCTTAGATAGAAAAAACGGTAAATGACATACAGATCGTTGAATATTGAAAAACTGGGTAAAAGGGGCGTAACCATTATCGACACATTTTGTATCAGATTGTAATTATTCAAAAATCTCTATCTCATAAATTTTACCGTTCTTCGGTTTATTTTTTTTTCTGTCTCAGAAAAATCGGTTCAATAACATATCAAACATTTTGTTTTCCTCCGGAGTCTGATTTTTTAAGTTTTTGAATGAACTGATTGACTGATTAAATGATTGATTTATTGATAGATTAATTGACTGATTGATTGGTATTCCAATGAATCAGTGATGGTTTGGTTAGTTGTGTGTTGGACGATCATTTAGTTTGATCTCGATAGATAGAGTTATATAGGTTGCTGTCCAAATTATACTAAATAAATTTAATTTAAAGTTGTCGTTAATAAATTAGTAATTCGTGGATTTAAAGCTATTGTTTTTGTATTTTTACCATCGTAATATTACTTTAACTGAAGGTATTTGGTTTTTAAAAAAAAAAATAAAAGGTTATTTTTATGGAAATCAAGTTTACATCAAAAATCGAAATCCACTGAGGTTAAATACAACCATAAAATTATAATGCGCTTTTGTATACCTGATCTTTAATTTTGGGCCGTCTTCTATAATAATGTGAATAAATGACAATTATTCAAGTGTGTCAGGGGCCTATCATAATTTTCTTTGGCGTTACTTTCATTAAGTTTACTAGTGCCCTTTTATACAGTTGGGTAGACTACACAGCGGTAAGTAAAATGCCATACCTGCATTGAGGCAAACAAAGTGCAAAGTGAGGGTTTAAAACCACGGCATCTATGAAAGGAAAGAAACTCATTCCCATATGCAACATATTTTACAGGGAACAAATAAATTACAATTAATAATTAAAGAAGGAAAAACTGCAGCTGAAAAATGGGACTAACAGTTAATTTCAATTCCATGGAGTACCGTACTTGCGCGAATAAACGCCCTGTTTGAATAAGCGCCCCTTTCGAATGAACGTCCCTCCTAACTTGAATTTCTTAAATTAAATTCTTAACTTAAATTTCCTTAAGCGCCCCGTTTGAGTAAGCGCCCTTCAATCAATCCTGGATTGTGGATGTTGGTGGGATTTGAGGTGTGGAGTGGAATCACATTCTCATTTAGTCAATATCAAAATGAGGATATTTATCTTGGACAGGTGAAAGCTCCCCGGACAGACAGTATATTTCCAACTCTCATCTGCTTTTCCGACAATTTGCACCTAACACATTCTCATCTGAGTTTTCAAGAAAACCTTCAATGATCATACCATCCTGTTAATCTCAATCGGCCGATGGCTAACAAGCTAAACACCACTAATTTCACCTGCTATTCTGCTGTTATGTAATACTGTACTCACAACATTCTTGTTATGACAAGCCATGCTCTCTGGACGATTATCTTTTCCGCCGCACCACCATTCGTAATCTGCGGTTTCCTCATGTCATTTTATAATCGTTTTTCATTCAAGTTTTGCTTCTTGTTATTTAATAACTTCTCATAAGAACCCCCCGATTTTCATCTATTTCTATAAGCGCCCCCTGAATTTCCACTCTGTTTCGATAAGCGCCCCGTTTGAATAAGCGCCCCTCAAAAAGTGCAAAAAATATTTTAAGCGCCCGGGCCCTTATTCGCGCGAGTACGGTACACATGTTAAAAATATGATGGAAACCGTTTTAATGAGTTTCCTCGGGTATTCGACATTATTATAGCTAGGTGCCTATCGGACAAACTTGTTAATTTTGACATTCCGGATGGTGCTAGACCATAGATAGGGCTGAGAGACTGTCGGTCGACAAAAGTTTAGTGAAAGCTGATTGAAAGAGGTAGTAAACCTAGCCAATGAGTTAATCAGATGTCTGCTGCTTCAAAAAAGTCTGGAAAACTTAAAATTTGCTTTAATCCTCGAATGATCCATTTTTGCTTACTACAAAGAATTATCAATTCAGTATGATGTAAGTGCAAGTGGCAAAGCTGCAGTCATGGTTCAAAAAAGTAAACCTTAAATGGACAAGCCGACGTGTTATAGTCTAGTAGGTTCCATGCACCCCCGGATATATTTTTTTAACTAACATTTTTGTAATCCTCAAAGTATCTGATGAACGAATTTTGATGTTCCCATCGAAAAAAAAATTGTCCTATGGGGTCGTTTAGCGCCATTTTGGCGGACATCTTGGATTTTGAATGAAAATCAATTATTTGCATAATTTATTATGCCTTCTATCCAGTAGCACAATTCCTTACACGATTACTGAATCCACTGGCCAGCAATGACTATGTACTTAAAGATTCTTTTGACGCATCTGAACGCATAAAGAATATACCTATAGATCTCTACAATCAAGGTTTCCGATTCGTTTCCTTTGACGTTCAGTCATTATTTACTAATGTGCCACTTACTAAAACTATTGCTGTTATACTGGACAGAATTTATAAGCAAAAATCCATTACTACTACTCTTAAGAAAAACACTCTACGTAAGCTAATTAGAGATACTTGCACCAAAACCATTTTCTCTTGCAATAATGAGTATTACAAACACATTGATGGTGTGTCCATGGGCTCGCCCCTTGGGCCAGTCCTATCTAATATCATAATGACGGAATTAGAAAACACTGTTATTCCTAAACTTGGACAGTCTGGCATTATTAAGTTCTATGCCCGTTTTGTAGATGATACATTAGTTCTTGCTAAGCCCTCTGATTTTAAACTCATTTTAGATTCTCATAATTCTTTTCATCCTTTACTTAAGTTTACATTTGAAGCATTTGATAGGTATGCCTGCAGATATGTACATTTTCTTGATTTAAACTTCAATTATCGCAATGAAATAAGTATTCACAGAAAGAAAACACAGACTGATCAGTATGTAAGCTTCGAAAGTGTTGTACCTTTTAATCATAAAGTGTCATTGATTCGAAGCTTAATTTCTAGGGCTAAGAAATTATGTAACTCAGGTGACGGTCTTATCAATGAAACTAACAATAATAAGAAATTCATGTCTTGGAATGGTTTTCCTAGACAATTAGCTAGCAAGCTTTTGGATAAATTTGTTTCTGATACTCATAAGCCTAATGATGTTAACGATGACAATGAAAATGTTAGTAAGGATATTACTAAAATTTGGGTACATATTCCATACATTGGTCGTCAAGGAGAAATACTCCTCCGTAGATGTATTGGCAAAATCAAAAGAAATCTAACAAAAGATGTTAAATTCATTACTTTATGGAAAACTAAAAAAGTATCATATTTCACCTCAACCAAAGATGTAACGCCTAACGAATATCGTAGTTCGGTTTTGTATCATTTTAAATGCCCTGGCTGTGAATGCGACTATATTGGTAAGACAGACCATAGAGCAAAGAAACAGACAGAAAGGTGCCTGATAACTAGAGTATCTGAACATTCTACTGTCTCTAACTGTGTCATACACAATCATAGAGTCTTGCGATGCTTTTCAAATGAAATGCCTTACACAATTAAAGATGATTTCATTGTTAATTTCAAATCTCTAATATATTCTAACACTGCAATAATTGATAGTTCTCCTAACTGGTCCCATTTACTATTTAAAGAAGCCCTTGCTATCCATCGCCTTTCCTAAATTAAACTTTGGTCTCAAAACATCAAGAGAGTTGAAATTGTTTATCTAATATAATCTAACCCAACATAATTGCCTCTTTCATAATCACCATTATGCTTAATCACCGTTGTTATTGTAGTAGCTTTTAATCCCCCTCATTTAAATACTGTAGCATTTTTTGTAATCACTGTCTAAGTTTTCTCATTCCTGATGATGACCCAATAAAAGTCGAAACGTTGAATCAAGGCCTCCATCTCTTTATTCGGAGTAACGTTCATATTATGTTATTAACTGAAAATCATATAAAATCAAATTAACCTCTAAATGTATATAGTAAGCAGTGTTTAAGTTCTTAATACAAAACATTGACCTTGCATTTACATTTGACGGCCATATTGGCGGCCATCTTGGATTTTGAATGAAAATCAGTTATTTTCATAGTTTATTAACTAAAAATCATATGCAATCAAACGAATCTCTAAATGTATATAGTAAGCAGTGTTTATGTTCTCAATACAAAAAAAAAATGACCTCTCAATACATTTGCGGCCATATTGGCAACTATATTGGATTGTCAATGAAAATCATTAATTTGAATTTTTATTAACTAAAAATCATATAAAATCATATGAACCTCTAAATATATAGGCATATAGTATAAACAGTGTTTAATTTCTCAATTCAAAACATTGACTACGTTATACATTGCCCAGTCATTTTGGCAGCTATATTGGCGGCCACATTAGCGGCCACATTGTTTTTTAAATGAACATTGATCCGTATAACATTTCACCTATTTTAAACAAAGAGATTTTTTTCAGAGTAATGTAGTCATTGGGAATTGATTGAGATCCATGACCTATGATTTATTGAAACAACAAAAATATGAGAAGTCCACTTTATTTACACTCAAAATTTAATACAAAACGCTCTGATCCTGGTGAAAAATACGTCTTTTAATGGTATAGGCCTAATGTATGGTAAAAAAATAATGTTAGTCCAACCATGCTACAAACTAAAAACTAATGTTCAAACTCAATGACCATGATTTTCTGGCCAATGTGATTCAATCTCCCTGTTCACAAATGCTATCCACACCAATGAACACCATTCAGATGCAATGTTTAAAACCGAAAGGTCCACTGATTAATCTCAGATAAGAAAGTATAATACATACTCCAAGTGTTGAAATACACGCCATCGTGTTGGGATTCAATGTTTCGACATTAATTATGTCATCATCACATGATGACATAATTAATGTCGAAATATTGAATCCCAACACGATGGCGTGTATGATGACATAATTAATGTCGAAATATTGAATCCCAACACGATGGCGTGTATTTCAATACTTGGAGTATGTATTATACTTTCTTATGCAATGTTTAGTTTAACAATAAATCTACTGTACATTTATTATTGTGCAACACATGTCAATTTTGTGGATGTTTTACAAAGAAAATCCCTTATAAAATCATGTAATACTTTAAATGACTATAATTAATAGAGGATCCGCTCTGCACATACTTTATTATTACTGCCGCCAAGGAGGTTATGCGTTCATTGTTTCCAGAGTTGTACATAATAATCTAAGAAAAATCACAAGGCTTGTTGCAACAGAATATCTGCCTATTAGCTTGCTTGAAGTTAAAAGTTGGGATATAGGTGGTGGGTGCTTTATTGCAGCCACAAAGTTTAAAAGTATTGAGCAGGCCCGTAGGTAGGATTTTCGATGGGGAGGTGCGTTTTGCAACCGAAATGGACCTTACTATGGGCGACTGCCTAGGGATCTCCGCGAATGTGGGGCCGAATCTTCTGAAAGCTCTGACCTAATTAGCATTTTGAGGGCCTTCTTTAAAGGATTTCTAAAATCCATAATTTGTAATATCCTATTTAATTTTTCATTCATTTGAGTATTGTCTAGGGACCTATAGTAAAGCATGAAAAATAGAGGGTGGGGTGAAGGAAGAAAGTTGCACAGACAGATGGTCAATACCACCTCAGCCCCACCATGGTTGGGGCTGAGGTAAGAAAATATATGATTATGTCACC